TATTGCACTACTACTGAAGTATGCAAAAGTCTACACTAGTAACCGTAATATCAAGGGATTTAGAGAAATATGAAAAAAGAAGTAAGTAAGCTTACACTGCAACGCTCGAACTATTAACAGCTTGACATAGCAAACAATGTAAGAAATTAGTCCAAAGATTTTTACAACATTTAAGAATAGTTGAACTTTCACTTTGTTATTTAGAAAGTATTGCACTACTACTGAAAGTATGCAAAAGTCTGCACTAGTAACCGTAATATCAAGGGATTTAGAGAAATATTTTTACCTTAGATGAGAACTATAATTGACTTGTTCACCGAACCTTTGATCTGAAACCTGAAAATGAGTGGACAACTTCTTTTGGAGAAGAAATAATTACACAACCAAAAAAGTTTTTTATTTCTTTAAAATAGGTAACTTTCATAGCCAACAACTTATTATTTCAACCAAAAAACACATATAGAACTAATTCGGTGTCATACATATAGAATTTGAAGCACACTATAAAAATCATAACAAATCAAGCAAAAGTCAAAATTTAGTAGATTAAATATCGCCAATAAGGATATCAAGTGAAGAAAATACCTGAAAATCAGATAAAAGAAGTAAGAATTCAAGCAATTGAAGTTCACTTTCAAAACTAACTACATCAATATGTACAACTTCCTGATGACATCCACTATTTCGAAATCTCCATTGGATAGTTGATAGCAATAGTGAATGTTCATAGAATTAGAAATATTTCGCAGCTTTAGAGGCATTCATTATTATTGAGATTATCAAAAGAGAAGAACTTGAGTTTAAATATCAAGTAAAAGAACCAAACAACAAAGTTAATCATGAATATATGGTTTTAGACATGTTATCACATTTAACCTTGAAAACTTGAGAGGAAAACTTGAGAGGGCATGAAAAATAGAAAAGATAGCCCTGCTAGGACTGAGCTTGGTTTGAAAGACTGGGTAATATATAACAATTTTTTATGTAATTCACAAACATACAGAGCAATCAGGACAATCCAAGAAGAACACAATATATTATATACTATGATTTGTTACTTTCTCTGACCACACCCTTTGAGCAGCCAACACATATATACAAAGGAAAAAAAGTACCAATAGTGTGACTCAATTGAGTATTCAAAATGAGAAAAGCGGAATCTGAAATTAGAAAAGAACTCAATAGGTATTCAAAACGAGATAAGAGGAATCTGAAAAAAAACCCTACTAAATCGATAATTGAATTTCATAAATCTAATATCATCAAATCAGTGAAATAGAAAATTACCCCCATTTCATTGATTATTACAGTTGTTGCAGAGCCCAACTGTAATCTTCTTCGTCAAATCGAAAGAGCATCACTTGAAGGTGGGTTACTCATGACGGGAAGGAAATTAGCTTCATTGGTTTCTTAATTTTGCGTTATCAAAGAATTTTGAGGTTGGTGATGTTGGAAGAAGAATCTTTAGTCGACGGAAATGCAACTTTAGTCAACGGAAATGAAGAAGAAGATGTGTATTCAATGTGGGGAAACTTGACGGTGAGCAAATTAGGGTTTAGGGATTTTACTATGTCCCAAAAAGAAAGAGATATATATTTTAAATTAGTGAGGAGCGGTGCCTTTTGACCCACTAAATTCTGTTTTCGGGACCAGTTATTCATTACTATAGAGACTAGATTTAATCTCTTCGTTGTAACAAAAATAAAGAGACCAGAAGGAAAACTCGTCCCTATAAGGATACTTTTAGGGACCAAATTTTCAACTTCTCCCTAAATGTTGGTCTCTAAAAAGCCTTTTTCTTGTAGTGTTGGCTAATCAGATAACTACTAACTACAAAGATGAACTCAACATGACTAATTCCTCTGAGAACAAGGACTCACTTAAGTTAAGGAAATGTAGCTAACAAATCATCTGATCTGCACCTAAAATGATGCAGCGCCGAATGGCATGACTGCATTGAATGTATGGTTTGTAAAATAGCTTAATTAAAATGGGAATACCACTAATAAATCTGAAAAATTGAACAGGAATATGATAGCATCAAGATCATGAAATATCTAAGTATACGAATGTAAGAAACATAATGATTATCAAAATCAATTAGTGCAACTAAAGAGCTTAAAGTGAACTTCTGAAACTGAGTAACTGATGACTAAACTGAATATCTATATGCAATGCGTTTTTTAATACTCTTTTCAAATGGTGGGGAAAATCATCATTCATAAAATTATAATCATAAGAATAGTCTTTCAGTTTCATAAAATATCATACCTTCTAGGTTAACCCGACATAGCCACCATGGAGTCTGATCTTCGGCCCATCAGTTTAGCCACCACATACCTTGTCAGGAGCCATACATTTCTTTTGGATCCATAATAAGCTCTTCCAAGGGTCATATAGAGGAGTCGTCTGAATAGCTAATATGATCCTTAACCTACACTGGTATACATAGTTTCGGGCATTTGTTATTTAAGCTTATGCCTACCATTACTTCAAAAATAGTCATGAAATAGCTTTAAGCTCATACATCATAATTTTGCATAACACCCATAAAAAACATGTTTAGCTTGGAAATCCATACTTCATAACGTAAATCATATACATGTCTTGTAGAGATTATGAGAAAACATACTTCAAAGTTCATAGGATGAAATTCATTGAAATCCATATATCATAGTTCATAATTTGAAATCATGTGAATCATATCATAAATCACATGGTTCATAGTTTTAGGCAGAACTTCATAGGATTCATGCTTGAATAAATGTCATAAAAATCATAGTTCATACTTTTGTAATCTCATGTGAAAAAGGGACAAACTCTTGAAATAAGATTTGCTAAGAGAATGACTAATATTGTAGGGTTTTAGAGGTCATAAAGAGTAGTCATGAGAAACATGAATTTTTGTACATACATAACTTGAAAGTTCATGGAGCTAATTACATGGTCTTGAAAGACTAAAAAAAACTTCCGTGGAAGATTTCAAGGGCATTAAGAATTGAGGAAATATATGATAGCATGTTAAAATTTATTTTTTTGGGTGAATTTCATTGCTCTTAATTCTAGGGTTCATAATATAAGAATAATTTTTAGGGATTCATCTAGAAAACATCAAGCAACCATTAAGAAGTTATTAAGAAGCCATTAAACTTAGTTTTCAAGATAGAAACAACTATTACTTTCATAATTGTTCACAATTTCATGGAAGCAATCTTATAAAATTCATGGTGGTAAGAAATTCATTGGATTAGGATACTGTTATGAATGATTCATGGGTTTCATAAAGATTCAATGATAATTCAAGAACATATGATTTCGTTCTAACCCTAATATATTCATGAAAGATACTCTTAAAACATGAAAATGTAATTTGTGGGGAAGAACAAGAAGTTCCCACACGCAGACATAGCCGTACATACCTAAAAGAACAAGAGTTCTTGATGAAAAAGTTTTGTGCTTGGAACCTTATAGATTGAACATGAGAAATCCTTCTATGGAATTCTTGGGGATGAAGGTTGGGGAATAATCTTGATTCAAAACCCTAGGAATCTTGGAGCTAATCTTGAACATGGAGGCTTTAGATCTTGAAAAATTGGGAGAACCATTTTTGATGTTCTAGATCTCTGGGAGAAGGAGAATTAGGGATTTTGGGAGTTACTATATGTTAAATGTTATTAGGTTATAAAGGATTTAGGGAAGTTCGTAGAGGATAGAAGGTCAATAATACCCCTTTTGGAATATAAGAAGAGCAGGCAAATCAAAGAAAATGACATTGTAATGAATCATGTAGGACAATTCGGCGATTTAGAGGCCCCATCACCAAAATATTTTGAGGATCACCAAAGTGGGGCTTTGAATCATCAAATTTAACAATTTATGAAGCTTTTTGGGCCATTTTGGCGATGCAGTTCGGCAATACAAAAACCTCTTCAGCGATTCACCGAACTGATAGGTGTCAATCACTAAATTCAACCTAGATACGTTTTAGTAAACTAACAGTAACTTGCTACTCCAGAATTGAATTGATGGATGGTCGGTGGCATTGGAAAGAAGACTCAAAGTCTTTTAATTTGATAGGTTGTGGCTCACCTAACTTTTCATATTCTAAGATATATAGTCGTTTCAGTTTTACTCTTCATGATCTTATGAAAACTTAATTGATAGGGAAGCTTTGTAATCAACAAAGTGCTAGAGGTTCCTTATGACCCTAATTTACATCAAATACACTTCCCACACTTAGAAATTGATCTTAACACATGCACAATTGAGAATAACCTAGTATATTGTAATGACCCTCTTGGTCATTTCTGTGTCTTGCCTTCTGTGTGTCGTTTAGAGCGTTTCTATAGCGACCCCAAGTCATTTATGACTTGCTGGGACTAACAGTTCGGTCACCTGGTCGTTTGTTTGGTCTTGGTGCGAGTTTTTGTGTTTTGGAGCTTATGAACCATGAATAATCATTTTTGATCAAAAGTTCAAGAAGATGACATCGGAATCCAATTCTGACGATTCCATCAGCTCCGGAAGGGTCATTTTAGGCTAGTAGCATGGTCGACATGACTCCCGAGGTTTTCAATGTGAGTCGGTGCGATTAGGCGTTTTAACTTTAAGTTTAAGCCTAAGTTTGACTTTGGCTAACATTCTGAGTAAACACGCTCGGATGAGAATTCCATCAGCGTGGTTAGCTTCGGAATATCAAGTTTGGTCTAAATTGACCCTTCTTTTGTGTCCCGAGGTTTTCGATATCTTTCCGAGCCCTTTTGTGGGTTTTGACTTAAAATGGCTTTTGGAAGTGGGACCCACTTTTTATCGAAATAATCTCTGATGGAAATTTCGACTGCGTCGTTGAGTTTGGAATATCGAATTTGGTATGGTTGCATACCTCGTTTGCGTGCACGGGGTTCCGAACGAGTTCGGAGCACTTCGTCGGAGTTTTAGAATTTTGGAATTTTTTTTTGCAGCAATCTGCTATTTATTGCAGAAAAACCAGCAACATTTCCAAACTTCAAACCCTCATAACTCTCTCATCTCTCAACCGATTTGGGCGATTCAAAAGGAAAAGTTGTGAGATTTTTTGAGGACAACGCTTTGGTGCGCTCGGATAGTGATTTGGAGTCCCCGTTTGAGGTAATTTTCGTAAAATACCTGCTGCAACACCCTTTTTGTGAGCTTGATTTTGGGAATTTTTGAGACTTGATATTTCAGTCATTTTAGATCCGATTTCGGTAATTCTTGGGGCTATCTTGAGTGGTTTTTCAAGGAGAACGCGTTGGCATGGTTATATTTCGTATTTAACTTTTTGTTGGAGGTAAAAAGTTGTGTTTTAGCTGCTGTCTTAGCTCATTTCGAGCTCAATTTTTGCGAAAATTTAGAAGGTGATTTCGTGGTCATTTTAGGCGCAAATATGGTGATTCAAAAGCCTAGATTATGGGGTTTTTCGTGAGGATCATCATGGTGTGATTGGTTTTAGCATCTGGACCCTAGTTTCTGATATTTTCTTGTAAATAGCTGCTGCTATTGTTGTTCCGTTTTAGTGTAATTTGGATTTTGGTTGCATGTTGATAGTGTGTTGTTCCCGAGCCCCGAATTGTGTCCCATTTTGGGATATGAGCTGGGGGAAACGTGGTTAGGACCCACTTTTGGGGTTAATTCTGAAATTTCCAGCGCGGGTCCCACGATTCCTGTTTTGACTTCAAAATTGACCCATCTCCGTTTGTTGTGATTTTGGTGTCTAAACGACCGTAATAATGTTGTGACTCTATTTTTGATAGCGGGGCAGCGTTTCGAGACCGTTCGAAAAGGGAAAGCTCCGAAGAAGTGATTTTGGAGCTCGTGTGATCGGCCTACAGGTAGGCTACAGTTTCCATCTCTTAGATTGAGCTTGAGAGTGTGAATGCATGTTGATATGTTAGTATTGTGTTGTTCCCGAGCCCTGAATTGTGTCCCATTTTGGGACATGAGCTAGGGGAACTGGTTAGGA